ACCCAATCAATTTCCCCTTCTTCTTGTCTGAATACATAGGCTTATTCATGCCAGTCCCAGCTAGATCACAATGTCAACTCAGGCCAACCCTTTTCACAGATGGCCCCCGACTGCCTGCAAAAAAACCCAACAGTTGAACCTGCTGTCAATTAGTCTAGTACATGTTCTTGTTCAAGTCTCCATGCCTGTAGAAATGTAGAACATCCAACTGCATGTTTGCAAATTTATTAATTTTGATGCATCATATTAGTTTCTTTTATGGTGACCCCCTCTGCTCTTAGAGCTACTTCACTGGTATTTTAACAGCCTGTGAGAGGATATATATTTTTTATAGCATCCTTGAAAATGTAGCTGTTATGAAGCGGGGGTATCTTTCTATTAATGCAGAGGTGGTGGGAAGTGGGGAAAGGATGTGTCTGGTTCCTTTGCCATAACTATACCAGGGAGTCTAGCTGGCAGAAAGATGTGTTTATAGCATGCTCGCAGAGGGAGATTTTCAAGCTGAAGAAGCACCAGACCATCCATCCTGGATATCTATCTTTCTGTAGAGATGATCTGATGGCTAGAAAATGGTATTTTGAGGTTTGCTTTTGGGAACTGACTTCTAGGTAAAGTAAATATGCACTAGAACAAAGGTCCAAGGCAATGGCAAGGGTTAATTGATTTCTAAAAAGCCTGTTCTGTGACCACTTCCTCAAAGCTGGCTGTATCTGACAGGCAAGCAGCAGACACACAGGTTAGGAAACTGAAGATATGTACCACACCATTCCATAACATGAGGTAAGGTGGCACCAGGTCACACTGCCCAACTGCAGAGTCCTTGGGAATTCCAGTTTTGGGGTAACAGACCAAATTAGAAGATTAGGATGTGTGCATGTGATGGGTTCATGAAATAAAGGATTATGCTGACAGGACAGAAAGTAGACAGTATGACAACTGCAGAGAGACCAATGAGTGATGCCCAATAATGAAGAGTCATCAGGAGGAGAAAAGAACACAAAAGGAGGGATTTCAGAGTACCAAAGGGTCCCCAAGAGGGGAACCCGAGGCCACCATGGACAGAGGGCACACCACCTGTCTCACCCACCACCCACTACCACGAGCTCCAGCCTGTCTCACCCACCCCACTTGATGAGGGGGTGGGGACATGGCTGGGCCTTGGCCTCTGACCTCCAGGCTGCTGACATCCGACATTCAAGAGAGAACCTCAGAGTGAGGCTCACCTACTGGCCAAATGTACCTTGACTCTGATGACAGTTCTAAAACTGGTAGATATAGAATTGTTAGCATTACTCTGCTATCACTGTGTATTGATAAAATTTGCATATTATCAAATGGAAAGGTTGTGGTCAGTCTGAGGGTTTGGGTCTACCCAGAACAAGGTATCTGGGTCATAAATCCAGTGCCAACAATCAAGGTAAACATGATTAGCTCCAGGACAACCACTGTGTTTGTAGTGCTTTCATGTGGTGGCTTTGCAAACTTCTGCAAAAGACAGATCATGGCTCCTGCTTCTTGGGAAAAGAATAGAAATGATCTCACCTGCCCCTTGACTCCAGACCAGATGGGGGGAAAATGAGGGCTTTTTATCCTCACATTGAGATCCAAATGATGCACAATGATGATGGAGTAAGTGTTCAGAAAACCATGCTAAGATGGTCAAATAACACAAAAAAGGAAAATGCTAGATAGGGACATGTCCTGAAACTGTGAAACCTATTTCTTGTCCTTTATCGTCTCCTGTCTCTGGGCAGAGTTCCTCAGGATGGAATTCACCAGCTCTTTGGACTTCTTCATGCAGTAGTGAATCATTTTTGGGAATCTCTATGCACAAGGTAGTAAGGGGCTTACATTTTGGATGGGTGTAGACCTATGCTTCAAGAGATTCCCCATAAGTAACTGGAGTAGTCAAGAGCTGCCTCATACTTCACTCACTTCTTTCAGGGGGCAATCATATTTCCTTCTTTCCAATGAACCTTAGTGACATACTCATCAGCTAATCATGAGAACTTGTCTTCTAAATATAAACCTTTTGTTTGAAGGCTTTTATTGATGTTCATATTCATTTAATAAGATTCTTCAATACAAAACATTCAAATCGACACTATCTTATCTTTTGAAATTTCACTTAGCTTTATAACTTCTTGATGATTGTACATACTTATCCTGAAGGATCACTAGCCTGCTGTACCATTCTATTTGCTTTTAACTGGAATAGCTTAACAAGGAAAAACCACCACTGTGAGAAAAATAAACAGTGAGGGTTTTATGTGCATTATGTACACTAGCAAGAGCAACATATTTTCTAATCATAAATATACTAACAATTACCCCTTTGATAAAATAAACCACTCCTGAACAAATGGAAACAATTACCATATTTCATGGTGTATAGGTCGACACGACACAGTGTATAAGTCAACCCTATTTTTCTGATCTAAAAAGTTACTTTCATAGATCCAGTGTATAAATCAACCTTAGTTTTTTGATCAGAAATATGGGGTCAACTTATACTGGCCCCTGCGTGCCCTCACTGTGGGCTGGCACCTGGGGGGTAGACACATGCCACAGCACCAGGGAACAGGGCTGGGGTTGGCACTTGGCTGGTACAGCCCAGGCAGCACCTCTCATAGGGGATGGATCTGCACCAGCCAAGTGCTGAACCTGGCCTCGTCCCCTGCAAGTAGCACTGCCTGGACTGTGCCAACTGAGCCCAGGCTCCATCCCTTGTGAGTGGCGCAGGGCTCAGTGCTCAGCCATCCCCTGTGAGCACACTATGGAGATGCCCCTCTTAAGGATGCTGAGCCTGGCCATGTCCCCTGAAGGCAGTGCTGCCTGGGCCACACCAGCCAAGCGCTGAGCCTGGCCCCATCCCCTGTGAGTGGTGTCAGATTTGGTGCTCAGCTGGTGCGGCCCCATCCCCTGTGAGCACACTATGGAGACATCGCTAGGCCAGGCGCTGAGGCTGGCCCCATCCCCTGAGAGCTGCCTGGGCCACACCAGCCGAGCACTGAACCCAGTGCCACTTGCAGGGGTCAGGCTCAGTGCTTGGCTGGCACAGCCCAGGCAGCGCCACTGACAAGGAATGGGGCTGGGTCAGCGCCTAGCTGAGTGGTGTCTCCCTAGTGACAGCAATGCCCACCAGTCAGGCTGGAGCTGGGCCCAGGCTCCCTGGCCTCCAACAGAGATACTTTTGGTAGGTGAAAAAGGTCAAGTTGGGGCTGTGTCAGGGTTCGGCCGGGGCCAGGGCCAAGTCAGGGCAGTGCTGGGATGGGGGTCAAAAGTACTGATATACTGTATAAGTCAAGGTGAAAATGTAAAGGTAAATATTTTGACTCCAAACCTTGATTTATACACTGTGAAATACGATACTTTATTACTAATGAAATGGTGATAAGTACAGGCATTAAAGTTACACAGAATAACAGGAATCTGGTGCAGGGAGACTTCAAACTATCATCTTTTCCACTTCTTCCCCTTAGGATTAAGCCTCCATAAGCTATGCTGTATAGATAGGAACCTACGGAATTCACAATTTCACAAATTTCACAAAATTGGGCATTGTCCATGAAATCAGGCAATGTCGGTGAAATTGGTGAAAAAAACATTCCTAAAAATAAAATGCTGACTCCCCAGACAAAGCTATTGCAGCCTAGTGGCACAGCACACCAGACAGCAGGGCCCCAGCACCTGATCCTGGCTGAGCAGGGGCAGCATGGGGGCTCAGAGCTGTATCCTGGCCCTGGGACCCTGCACCACTTGTGTCTGTCTCCCACACATGGGGATCACGCCCTTGAGCTTCCCAGTGCTTCCACCCAGCCCCCATGCACCAGATGTAGGCTCTGGCTGGGCGGAAGTGGCACAGAGCAACGGGCCCTGTTTCTCTCTGGGCCCTGGGTGGCTGCCTGGTTCCCCCATGTCCGGCCCTGGCCTTGGGGCAGTGGTTCTCAACCTTTGTAGACTCCAGGCACTCCTCATGAGACTCAAGATGCATTTTGAAAAATGCCAAGCCTTAGATGTCTTTTTTTTTTTTGAGTGTGGTATTGCAAAGAACTCAAAAAAGCCACGACCGGTCAGAATGGTTTTGACACCACCGATTCGTATTGATGAGGCTGAAGTTGGTTCCTTATTCCTGGCTCCTGGTGGGGCACCACACACTGCACGTAGCGCTGGGAGCTGTCAGTTGGCGGGCTGACGTGTGAAAACCGAGCTTCGAACTAGGCAGCGCCCTGCTCAGACTTATTCACAAGTGTCCCCCCGCAGTGGACGTGTGTGGTTTGGGGTGACTCCATGCCCCGTAATCCTGCCGAACCTCAGCTCCTTACTCAAGGCTAGATGCACTTGCTACATGATATTATTTGAAATTTTTATTAGAAAATATACACTTGCGATGGGATTCTCGCTCTTTAGCACGTGCCAGTCATTGCTAATAACCTTTCACGGTGTAGCGCTTCACTGTGAAAGAGGAAGCGGGAACCGGGAATAAGGAAGGGGCCAGGGAGGGAGGAGGTAACAAGAGACAGGCCGAGCTGTTGATGGGTCTGAATGAGCTCAAGTCTGCAGGGCGGGCTGGGCCGCGTGGCTGGCAGAGACCTCTTGGCACTGACAGACATGAAGCCCTGGGAGCATCGCGCTGCTCGCTCAAACAGGCAGGGAGGCGGCCGGGGAAATACCCCCCTCAGCTCCTGGCAAATTACCGGGGGCCTCCCCAGAAGCCGAGGCAGGCGGGTGGGGTTTCACTGCAAGCAGCTCGCGTCAGAATTGAGCTCCTGCTCTGCCAGGGGACGCTGGGGCTGGCGCACCCGCAGGCCTCGGGGAGACGCGGCT